TTGATGTCATRGATTGCATTGGGYTCCTGCTGCAGAATTATTCAGGAAAGCTCAAGTGACTGATGTATAGAACTGCTTCAGGAMTAAGTGTCATAGCTTGGTCTCACCCTTACCATTAGCTAAATCACTAAGACAAAAGAAAAGAAGGAAGTTCAGGCATCTGTTAAGAAGAAAACCAGCAGAGAATGGATATTTTTTCACCCACATTAATTATAAATGTTGAGAGATCTAAGGAAATCGGCACAACTCTACTAAGGGCGGAAGAAAGGACCAGCTATCTGAAAATAATGTATATCTTAGATAGCCAGGAAAGGGARTATGTTTAATCAGACAGGAAATGCTTAATCAGGCAGGACAAGAGATATATCTTTAATTGGTGAAGAAGAATCCTAGATCAAATATATGCTAAATTTAAGGAATTTTTTAAAAAGATAATTATAGATAGAATTTTTATTTATTTTTAAATTAGTAACATAATTATTTAATAAAATATATGAAAATGTGACTGATATGTACATCTATGTGCATGTAACTTATCTGAAATTTATTCCTTGAAGTACAATTACAAAAATACTGCCTGTAATGACATCCTAATTATAGATCTCTGTTACATTTTTCAAACATATGTATGTATATGTAAATAATAAAATTTAAAACATAAATTATATTATTTGCAGAAAGTTGGTGTGAGAATTAGTTTTGCTGCTAAGTAATTAGTTTTGTTAGAAAGAAAAAAAGTGAGTAGTGTGGATAGTGGGGCACAGAGAGGCCAACATCCCAAGGTCACTGCCCAAGGAGGTGGATACTAGCCACCAGTCATGATTTGAGGGACCCCTGAGCAATCTCAGGAATAGTGCCAGCATATTCAAGAGTGTGGTATCAAGGAAGGAGAGAACAAGGAGTGTTCTAGGAGAAATATGGACAGTGTAATCTGTTACCTACATCATAATATAGAATTAAATTTTATATTGAAGAATATATATAGGTTAGAGAGGGTTGGGTCCATGATGTGGTCATTTTTGGAAA